GCAGTGCATGTTCCCAGCGTGTACTTTGACAACATTACCAGAAAGAGGGGTAGCAGAGGCCTCAGGTGTGACATGGAGAGCCCACCCAGACTTTAGGGCCTTTGTTGCTAATTTTTTTTAAGGTAGTATCTTACAGGCTGAGGATATAGCCTGGCTGTTAAAGTGCTCATCTTGCAAGCATGAGGTTCTGAGTTCAAGTCTCAGAATCCATGTAAAAAGGCTGGTTGTGGCTGTGCACATTTGTAATCTAAACTCTGGGGAGAGAGAGATAGGCAGATCTTGGTAGCTTGCTGGATATCCGGCCAATGCCTACTTGGTGACTTTCAGGTCACTAAAAGATAGTGTGTCAAAAACAAGGTAGACAAAACATCAGCTGAGGCTGTCCACTGGCCTACACACACATATGCAGACACACACACACATACATACATTCACATATTTAATATGAACTACATATCTCAGGCTGCCTCTGGAATCAACAGTGTTCCCATCTCGGCCTTCCAATTACATTACTGAAATGCCCTAAGAGACCTGTTTGGAGAAGATTCAAGGCCAAGATGCCTAGCCCCTTCCCATTCCCATGGAAACCCTTATGAATTGACAGAAGTCCTACTACCCTCTCCTTGGTCCTGTTTGTCTGGATTTCAAAAGGGTCAACACACCGTGAATCTTGGAAGTGCTTTCTTATCAGATGGGACAGCTCTGTCTGTTCTTCTATCTGCTCTTAGCCCAGGGAGTTAGGGTCTGTTCCACCCACACATGACACACAGTTCCACCACAGCTTTCTCTGTCTTGCTCCCTAGTCAGAGCAGCCAGACCCACAAGCTCACACCCCTGTCTGCTTCCAGGCAGTGAGCTTAGAACCGTAGACCCTGAAAATGATGCTCCCCGTGTTGTAGCAACCAATGCAGAGACTCCATGGAGTTGAAAGACAGACCTGTGAGGCCTGGGGACCCCAGAACTTAGAGAAGCTGAGAAATCTGAGTAACAAGTCAGCTTGCTATCCCAGCTTGGCCCCACAAAGTCACAACTGTCCTATGATACCTACAGATAAGATTGGGGGATGCTCCATGTTAGCTCTTGGATAGCATGGCCTGTCTGTCTCCTCCTGTGCCCTCAGTATGGCGATATCAGTGTGAGTGCTATGAGTTTGTGGATATGTGAAGAGAAACAGCACCTGAGAGAGGGAGGCTCTGTGTGTGTATGGAGGGGGGAACTTGGCTCCTTTACTAAGTAATAGGCTCTCATAAGTAGACAGTTTAATGGTCAAAAAAAAGTATTCATAGTACTAGGTGTCCTGCAGAACCTCTGCTCTCTCAGGGAGAGCTGCTGACTTGGGGTGAATCATTGTTGAAACCAAGCAGCTAACTATATATAACATTATGCAAAGAATCAGGAAGAAATCAGCTCTGCGTCTAGCTGAACACCAAGGTGGTGATGGGAAACCCAGACGCTGGTGCTTGCAACCAGAAGAAAGGCATCATGTAGCAGGCAGCAATGGTGGAACATTCTTTCCTTACTCAAGAACCCTGAAAGTCGGATACCAGGATGGGACTCAAAGACACTAAGCTATTCTTTGGATAAAAGCAAACTATAATTTCCAAGAAGGGAAAGTTGCCAGTTGAGGGTAGGAAATGCTATGGAGTGGGCATGGTGTGAAGCAGGCAGCTTACCTCCCCCATGGGTCTGGCACAGGTAGGGGAACCTCCATATGTTCCCCAGCCCCACAGCAAACCCGATGCAGCTCAGGAGGTACTGTAGTTTGTTGTCCCACTTGGGTCTCTCATCCTCGATGTCCACAAGTGGGTCCATTCCCGAGGCCTGTGCCATGCCGAGCAGTCACCCTGGGTATGCTGGGAAGGCTGGATGTACAGTGGGCAATTTGTGACACACTAGTCCAGAAGGTCCTCTGGAATCTCTGCTGGACTGAGGAAGCTAAAGCAGTCGGCCCCTCCTTGAGGCATTTCTCCATTTATTTAAAGGAGCCCAGTTAATTGATAACTGGCATCAGGTTTCTGCCTACTGCAGAGTCCATCTTCAACACCCGCATCTACCGGCCTACCTGAGGTCTTCTATGTCATGTGATCAGTGGGTAGCAGAGCCTGCTAGTACCACACTCAATATAGGCCAGATGCTCCCTAGGACCTGCAGGACTCCCAGAATGGGAAGTTCAGTTGGCCACTAAAACCTATTTATTCTATAACTAAGCCTGTGGTGTAAATAATACAGGCTCATCTTCCAGAAGAGTCAGTGGAGCATTCCCCAAACTGTTCTCTTCCTCCAGGTAATACCTTAAAGCTCATGGCAGTATGTAGACAGGATTGTTATAACCCAAAACACTGTGCCAGGCCACCTTCTGCTCTTCCTGTGTTGCTCACCCACCCCAGTGGCCCAGCAGCCCAAGCTGTCTGCAGTCTTCTCTCATGAAGTTTCCGTAAGTGAACATAGTTCTTTGGGTTCTCCTACTGAGCAGTACATACTGCCCAGAGTGCATACTACTGTCCAAACCACACAGCTGCTGCACCAGTCCTGTTGGGCTGTCTTAGGTACAGCTGAATGAGGAGCTGACTTTGCTTTGTTGGACATAGTCTTTATTTCCCTGGGACATGAAGCCAGAAGGCATCTACCACATGCTTGATCTTCAAGCACACTTATTTTTCAGGTGTCTGTCTAATGGGTTTTTATGACTAGTTCTAAACCTCCATGGTTTGAGTTTGTCAAGAAAAACCCCACCTGTATCCCCCAGGATGCTCCAGATCCCTGGCACAGCCCAGAAGACCTGGACTGAGAATAGCCCACAGCCATTTATGAACAAGAGTTTTGAGGGGTGGGCATAGAAAGCTTCTTCCTCGTGTGCAGGGGTTTGAGGTGCTTCTTCCCAACTTCATCCTCTGTAGTAGTGACGCGATTGTTGTCTGGGGTAGCTGGGAAGGACAGGGTGATGCTACCATGTGTGTTTGTGATGTTCCCCCCAGATTCTGAGACTCCTCTCCCATGGTGAGACATGGCTGGAGACAGGCTAAGAGCATCTTAAGCCCTTGGGATCTATATTTCTCATCCTTCTGCACACTTCTCTGTAGACTATGCAGTCATAATTCCAAATATATAGGTTTCGGAAACTCAGGATCTGGACATTTATAGGAGATCCTATTTTGAGCATGAGGGTAAAGTGAGTAAGGGCTTGAGAAGAGACAGGAAATGAAGGGATGTGGAGGGTATGGAGGAGTGTCTTGTGTAGGGGAGGCACACCTTTGTGTTACCCATTTGCTGGACATGTTTCTGTGATTTTCTGTCCTCTTGCTTCCTCCATCTCTCCACCTCTGTTTCCAGCTGACCTTATTCCCATGCACCCCTCACGTCCCAAGTCCAAAGACCTGCTGGTCACCTGCCAGTAGGCAGGCAGCAGAGTGTGTAAGACTACACTGCCCCTGCTTAAGTCTTAGCCTATCCCTCTGGGCTGTAGGAACCTCTTCAGAAAAAATCCCCAATCCAGAGCTGTCCGAGAGGTAGGACTGGACTTGCTGACCACATCATCCCTGGAAATTCTTGGTGCCTGCCATGGGCCAGGCTCATTCTTTTATGCCTGAGCAATGACTCTTAATCCAAGATCGTTTCAAAAGAGTGCTTTATTGAGAAAGATGTATTTTAGACCCAACAACCAATCTGGATTTCTGTCACACAGAGACAGGAGCCCTAAACATAAGACACGGACCAGAGATAGCAGAGAATTTGGTTGGCCTCCAGCCAGATCACACAGGACCAGAAAGGAATGTCCACTATGCACATAGCAGGGCATATATTGATGGCTATAAATACCAGCAGCATTTTTCCAGCTGAGGCTTGAGAGGCCCAGAGGTGGAACCCACAGGAACTAGTGTGAGACTCTTCATATTCCCCCAGGGCCAACCCCCATCCTGCGCCTCTGTATGGTTCTTGAGGTGATGGTACTTAGGTGATCCGTGTGTATAGAAGGCTGTAAGAGGACTCCATGATTCAACAATAGGAGCTGCAGCTTGTAGGGGTGAAATGTGGCTGTTGTCACCAAGTAGGAAGAACATGACTGACATCAGGGCCCACCACAGTTTCTTACCCTTTTTTGTGAGGATTCTCAGAAAGTCTAATCCAACTTAAATGTGGGCTTTCTCGTGGAAAAGGAGGGCAGTAGCTTGTAACAAACACCCCATCTCTCACATACCTGGACCAACCAGCCTGTTGGGGGGAGGGGCAGACATAGCCCTCCCTGGCTTCACTGACTGCCACAAGACTGAAGATTTCTAGGCTTCAGTCACTAGGGTGCCCATTTTCCTAGGAGTGTTCTCAACAGCAGTGGCCACAGCTGAGTTACCCTGTAACCCTCCTTTTCCAACATTTGGCTAAAGATTTACAGACTTGTGCCCTCTTCAGAAGTGCACAGAGTGGTCCCTGCTTCAGAAGAGAAGGGAAGGTCAGCTTGACTGTTCATTGACCAATGATTAAGCAGGCATGCAGGAAGTGAGAGTGTATCAGGTCTGACTGAGACAAGTCTTCTCAGCCTTGCCAGTCTACCAGCTTCCTGTGCTTCTCCTTAAAGAGCAGAAGAGCCTTGGTCCAGCTCTCATAGCAAGGGGCAGAGGGTTGCCTGGGAGTGGGTAGTGACAACATTCCCAGGAGCCAGGCCAGCAGCATATCCTCACCTCCTACCTTCCACTCAGAGGGAAGGAGACCAGATTGGGCCCTCCACATATTCACTTTTGGCCCTCTGCCAGGATTTTGCAGCGCAAGGTAGGTCCTGAGCTATGTCTGACCCCAGGCTGTAGTCCAAGCCCTATAGTGAGAGCAAGCAGAGGTCATCCAGGCCAGAGTGGTAGGCACTTCACCTCATCAAGACCGTGTAAAAATATTTTCACATCTGTGCCATGTGTACAAAGGTAGCATAGGCATGTGCACATACCTATTTGCAATGCACACACATAAATGAACATGTGCATGCATGTACACATACAACACACACACACATACATACATACACATATATAATGTTTATGAGTGCATGTTCATACATTCATATACACATATCAATAGATTCCATTTGTGAGTATATGTATACACATGTGTGCACAGATATATGTTAACATGTGAGCATATATATTTACATCTAGATAACACATGTGTGCATATATACATGTATATATAAATATACCCTCCTTGGAATATATACACAAACATATGCACATCATGTGTACATAAACTCACACTTACACACATATACACTTATGTACACATGTGGTACATATGATCCACATATACACATGTATAAAACTGGTATATACACATAAACATGTCTATGTGCCCCACATGTTTGTGTAACACTTGTGTACACATCTGTGTGACATGAATACATGTATATGTACTCACACATTGACACATATTACAGCCTATTCCCCCATGGATCCTGCATCTTGCTTCCTCCACATCATCTTCTGCCTTATGCAGACTAGGCCCATTCAGTTCTTAAGGTCCCCATTCACAGAGGCTGTGGACAGCGTGTTGACCAGCCCGTGGTGGTCACCAGACTTCTGGTAGCAGTTTCTGATGAACTTGTAGATGGCAAAGAAAGGGATGGTGAGGCAGGGTACTCCAGCCACAATGACCACGACTGCATACACCCAGTTGGGATATGGAACCTTCTGAGGTTTCGGGAACTCCTCCTGGGGAAAGAACCATGGGTAACACATATAGAAAAGGCCTGCCACCTCCATGATCTCACCTTTTGTTTCTCCCAGTGGAGCCCTTCTACTGCCCTTCCGCCCCACTTCCTACCTTCCTCCCCAACAGTTCTCCTTCCTCCCCGTCCAGCCACTGCCTGGGCACTCACATAGTCAGGGTCCCAGATGCTATACATGAGCCTCTGGTTGACTTCAATCACAAGAAAGAAGAAGAAGATGACCAGCATGATCAGCGGACTGATCACTCTCCATGTGACTTGCCAGAAGATGTTGGGCTTATGGCCGATCATGAACTCGATGTCCTTGTTAAACCTGCAGCAGAGGCCAGAAGGTAGAGTCACTGATAGCTCATGAAGGTCAAAGACTGACCAGATTTTCTATATCTGGACAGTAGCTGTTCATCTTGGAATGTTGTGCCTTAGCCTTCCCTTGATAAGGTCCTCTAATTTTGCAGGCAAAGGTGTGTCTGCACTCAAAGGGGGCCCAGGTTGACAGTGTCACAAGCTGCCATTTGATCTTCTTGGAATCCCCACAGCACTGTGCTATGAGTTCATCATTGGAGGTCTCATATTCTCACCTACTTCCTGTCATGTGACAATGGGGGCAGGGGGCTGTCAGACTTCGCTCCTTCCAACTCACTCAAGACTCGGCAGCCCTTGTGTGAGTAATAGCAACCTGAAGCTAGGAGATGGCCACTCTTTCCTGACCTGCTCAAAGGCAACTCTGTGGCAGAACTCCCTTCCTCATAAGAGACTTGTTGTGATCACAACGAGGCACACAGAACAACTGGTGCTTTGTCTAGCAGACACCAGAGCTTGGTGATAACCTTTGAGAAGCTGGCATCGAGTCTATCACTAGTCATGTCACCTCCTTTCTTCACATCCTTGGGCAATGACTTTCTCAGTGCTACTCACAGTAGTGTGGAGTTCAGACCACTGTGCATGTGCCAGCTGCAGCCACTCCAGGTATCAGTTGACACATTCCTTATCGATCACAACAGTCACATGGCTGGTCCTGTGCTCTTCAGCCTCCTCAGGCTTAGAGTCTGGTCCCCACTTATGCTGGTGTAACCTTGCCCATGTCCCCTGTGGCCTTTCACTTTTCAGTGGCTTGAAATGGGTTTTCCAGAATAGGATCTCTAGCAAAGGGCTAACACCAACGTAACTTCAGTGGATCTTGATAGTTCATTTTACAGTGATCACCACAGCTTCTCTGGAAGATGTAGCTTCCTGGATCCCTGTCCAGCAATGGCAATGATGCCTTGAGATGTTGGGTCAAACTGACAGTTGGAAGTGGCCCTTAATGGTGGCCCTCTGTGCCTTCCTGTGCTTGAGTTCTAGAAAGCTGCTGAGGCCCCCTTCCACATAGAAAAGCCTATTCCCAATTCCAGAGGTACTCCTGATGTAGAGAGCCGCCAAGTGGATGGAGGGCATTGAGCTCCATCTTGCCTGAGGATGTGTGATGTCCATATCATACAGAGCCCAAGTCTTGCCACCTTGCATGCCTCCCCTCCCCTTCCTCACTTCCTACCTTCTCCCTGCTTTTGTTCTAGACCCAGTGCTGCTTCTGGGGATCTAGACTGAAGATCATGTATATGTATGTATGTATGTATGTATGTATGTATGTATATTACACATATATATTCATCATATACATCATATATATATACATCATATACATATACTGTTTGTGTAATGAGGTGTGTCTGAATTTTCGCTTGTATTTTCTTTTTTTTTTAATTGGATGTTTTATTTACATTTCACATGTTATCCCCTTACCCCATCCCCCACCCACCCAAGAACCCCCATCCCCTCACCCCTCCTCCTGCTTCTCTGCGGATGTACCCCTACCTACCCCCCCACTCCCACCTCCCCACCCACCAATTCCCACCCCCTGGGGCGTCCAGCCTTCATGAGACCAAGGATCTCTTCTCCCACCTATGCCCAGCAGGGCCTCCCTCCCTTACATATATAGCTGAAGCCATGGATCCCTCCCTAAGTGCTCCCAGGCTGGTTGTTTAGACCCTGGGAGCTCTGGTTGGTTGGTATTGTTGCTCTCCTCATGGGGCCACTAACCCTCTCAGCTCCATCTCTTGTATTTTCTTTCTCTGGCATCCAAAATTACTACATGTCAGTTTCTAGTACACCTGCAAATTTCTGTTCTTGGACAGATAGCAGGGGCCGTTGGGAATTATATGTACTGTTTAGATTATGCCTAATAAGAAAGGAGGTACCACATCAGCAAGGCCTACCCTTCATCCTCTGACCTCTCTCCATCTCCTGGAACAAGTGCCAGGACTAAGCCAATGCCAGCCAACTCCTACAAGTCTCCACTCTCTTGTGCAATAGTGAGAGCTTTGTGCTGTGGCATGCCTACTTCCTTTACATCTACTTGGCTGGCTCAGCTTAACAGAGATTCTGTGATTCAGCTTTCTGTTAAAAATGGCATGTTGCCATGGAGCTACCCATCCTACCTGTCAACTCCATACACATAGACGATGGCAAACATCTCAGAAAAGGCAATGATTAGCAGAGGGATGGAGCCAGCATAGGCGTTCAGGAGGGAAAGCCAGTATTGGCCCGAATTCAGTGTGAAAATGAAGGCGATGAGATATGTCCCCAAGCAGATGAGACCTGTGGCCAGACAGGGAGCAGAGCTGTGGCTACAAGGCCACTCAACCCAGGGCTGCACCCACCATTGTCATGAGGAACACAAGCGTGTCTCCCTTAGATGCTAAGCTTCATAAATACCTGTCAGCAGTTCTTTGGGCCACTTCTTAGGAGTTATGTTGAGGTCCTGAAGGGGTACGATCACACCCTCTATGTTTCCAAACATGGAGGAGAGGCCCAGGCAGAAAAGCATGATAAAGAAGAGCACCGACCAGAGTGGGGACACCGGCATCTTCGTTATAGCTTCAGTGAAGACAATGAAGGCCAGGCCTGTGCCTTCCACACCCTGTACCAATGCACAACACAAGGTCATCTTGGCTTTCTGTTCCTTTCCTCCCTCTTGGGTCAGGTATTGCTGTTGCCCTTCATTGCTTCCCCAGATATTAAAGGTTAAGTCTCCATTGCTGAAGACACCACACACTTTGGACACAGGACTCTGAAGAGTCCAGATGAATATGATCTGAAAACCTCCTCCCCAAAGACTATCTTTCACAGTACCAAAGGTATTGAGTGAGCTGCCAAGGGAGGAAAGCAAAACAATAGTCCTCCTCAGCTGTGAACTATAATGATAGTTATAACATCATGATCCCCAAAAGTTCAACAGTGCCTTTCATATCTTGGCATCAACCAACAGCTGTTTAACTGAACCTAAGGCCCACTCAAAAGGAAGGAAATTTGGCTGGCACTGGACCAAGCCAACACCCTGGAATGTTGAGGTCATGGATCCAAAAGAACTTGAACTACTTTAATAAACCAACATAACTCCTAAGTGCATGCTGAGTGTCTATCCTTATACCCATAGATAAGTGTAACCCTCACCCCTCATCAAAGAAACTTCTCCTTAAATCAGATAGAGACTCTTAACAGAAAACTACAATAGGCCAAAATGCAGAGAACAACAGATCTTGGGGTGCCTATCCCCAATGGATGTATCTACCATACAACTCTGTACCCAAGTTCCAGGGAACATTATGAAGGAGGGGACAGAAAGATTGTAAGAGGCCAAGGATCAAGAAAACAGCCATAGCATTGTGTTTTTTATGACATGGAAGTAACACTTATAACACCTCAAACTCTTAACACCTGCTTAAACAAGACCTGAACAAGAATAACACGAGCAGACATGATGATGAGGTCGTGGAGACTGTAAATCTCACTGAGGGGAGAGGGAAAGGAGGAAGGCAACCCTATACAAAGAATTGTAGGCAACTGGGGACTGCTGAGAGCAGGAGAAGTGAATTCCCCAAAGAAAAGCCCTATTGCTGGTTATTCAATACCAAGTGATCAACCCTGAACAATATACATACAAGTCATGGTAAACGGACTCATCAGGCTGTGTTCATATAGCAAGGCGTATATGTGTAACAATCAAAGAAAAAGAGGCCATGGATCTGAGGACTGAGGGGGAGGAGGGGAGGGGTTGGAGGGAGGATCAAGGGATGTTTTGTATAATTGATTTGAGAGGCTGGAGGAATCAAGCAGGGAGAGTCATGATGGGTGAACAGTGGCTCCCTCCTCCTGCCTGGTTTTTAACTCCTACCACTCTTGGAGGGTCAGATGCTGACTGTGCAAAGCCTCTCTGCATGACTCGCAAAGACAAAAAAGGATGTTCTCCCCCTCCCCAACATGAGACTTTGATGGCATGGAGATCACTGCACCTACCTCAGAAAGGAAGGTGTTAATGTCACAGGTCTGAAACTTCAGCTGTGCATAGGCCTGGGGATTGGTGACATTGCACCACTGTTGATAGGCCTCAAAGTTCTCTGAAGTCACATTGCCCTCAGGCAGGTCGAACCCATTGATGAGGGTCAGGATGTTCCTGGAAGTGATGAAAAGGGCTTCTGTGTGTCCTAGGCAGGAGCTGCTCAAAGGCTGAACTGGCAAGGGTTGGGCAAAGAGGAGAGGGATCTATGTGCATGCCCTCTGAACTCATCCCCAAATGCTAGGGTGGCAACTCACGTGTTGACACACTCATCAAAGCGCTCAGTGGCTCGGAAGCCAATGATGGAGTAGACCACGGTGGCTGCATACACAGATGTGAAGCCATTGATGATGGACACGATCACAGAATCCATCTCACAATTGTTACTGAGGATGAGAGGAGTGTTACCCCAGGACAACATGGCTGATTCCCAAGGCCCATGCCCCACCCCCACCCACTGAAAGTCAGCATGCAGGACAGCAGATCCAGTGTGTTCTGGTCTAAGGCTGAATTCCTGAGTGCTCATCAGTTGGCAAAAAGGCTAATGTAATATAGGGGAACATAGGTCCTGTTGTGTGGACACATGTGGCCACTGAGGACTCAAGATGACCAGAGGGCTGTGTCCTGACCCTGAACCAAGCTGTTGTCTTCTTTACTGTGTTCCAGTCCTCCCAAACATACAGACCACAGCTATTGAGATGTTCTGAAAGCCCAGGATACCAAGAGTTGGAGATTCCTAGAATCAACGCCACCTTAGGCCTCAGGCAAACAATCAGCTTCACAAAAAGAATAGGCCCTGAACTCACACTAACAGGTGCACAGGTCCTCATGGCCAAGAGAAAGAAGCCAAGCCAGGTTCTCTACTGCTTTGAAGCCTCTCTCCTAACCCAGGCTTCTCTAAAGATGATGTTTTACTATTTATGCTATAGGGTTTTGTTTATAAGAGCAATTTGTATTAATATTTATAAAAGCAATTCAGTTTGTAGTCCTCCAGGCTACCTGCTTGAAGTAAAAAGGAGGAAGAGAACCTAGAATTTTCCAGATGGGACTTGGCCATCCTGGCTGGCATTTGAGGCAGGGTAGGACCATCCTCAACATCTGCCCTAGCAATGTCTATGCCCCTTAGGAGGATGGATCGTCACCCACAGCACAGAGTGGAATGTTCTACAGTCAGGTCCCATAAGTATTTCTGACCAGATGAAAGACCCAGGTTTATGCAAAGAGGCAGCACAGATCTGCACATTCCTAACTCTTAGGGACATGGAAGATGTGGCCACAGCTCAGGGGCTGACCCAACTCTTTGGCCCTTATTCACTCTCAGCCCTCTGTAACATAGACCCCACAGTGACTTCCTGATTGAAGCCTTTGAAATCCCATCTGGAGATACTCAGTACAGCTTGAGCATACCCTGATCCCAGTCTTTCAACCCCAAACCCCTGCCACAGCTGTCATTGTGCTGCCCCATGCTGAGTCAAAAGCAGAGTACACAGCCACCAGAAAAGTACATGTCACACTGCCCCACAGTGCCACCTCACCTGGAAAAAGGGTATCCCCAGAACACAGATAATTATAAAAGTTGACAAGAAAGGGAAACAGAGGCCATCCTGCACTGGAGGGAACTTGTAATCACGAAGTGCTGTGGAGAGCAGCCTGTGGGTCCTTAGATAGCTGATCATGGAGTGGCATAATGGCAGGTCTCCTCCCAGGTATACCCCAGAACATGGCAACAGCACGTGTGGGGAAAGTACCATTCACAGTTATAAAAGTGGAAGCAGCCAAAGTCACTGTAGGTGTATGGACAAGCACATTTAGGCTGTCCTCACAGTAGGTGGTCAGTTAGCCACACCAGTCTGTAGCACCAACACACTCTACATCAGGGAAGCATCATGTCAGTAAGAAACTAGATGCCAAAGACCCCACACCTCCAGTTCTACCCATAGGAAATATTCAAGCAGACAAAGAGACAGGAGCAGGGAAGTGCTACCAGTGGACTTGGGAGTTCAAGAGTACCTTCTCATGAGAATGTTCTAGAACTAAATGGTGACTGAACAACTGTATGACTGTGCTAGAGCCATTAGACTCATGTGAGTGACTTCATGTAGCCTAGCGTGGGTGAACTGCACAGAATACAAACAGTCTGAATAAAACAGTCATAAAAATAATTCACCCACAGCTCCACTTTGGCTCTACCTGCGGTGGCACTTCTAGGGTTGCCTTCCAGAACATTTTCTGTGGTTCCAGAATTAGTTTTCTGAAGCCTGAGACCCATCAGTCAGTGACTAAAAGACCATAGTCCAATGGAACACCTGCCCATCCACCCAATTTCAACACATCTTCTGAAGGCCCTGCACTCCCAGACCATAAGGGACTATAGGCTATGCCCTCTAAGAACAGACTGTTCCTGTGTCATACCTATTGAAAACCACATCTCCCAGAACAGACATGCCCTGATTGTCAGGCCCTGTCTCTTCTCTAGCCTTGTCTGCTTCCTAAGTCTCTCCATGGGGTTCCCTATCCTGAATCCATAAAACTCTGATGTACCAGGAGCTTCCATCCACTCCCCGTCCAGCTGTCCCTTAGGCTTATCATCATAAACCACCAACCAATCCCACTGCTTTCCCCTGACTAACATTGGTCAAAGAGGACAGGTCTGGTTGCACCAAGCCTAGCTAGTATTCCCTAAACCTTTGTGGGAAACAATAAATATCACCTTTATCCTCTCTGAACGTTTGTGAGGGTTCTTCATTGTTGAAGGAGTTTCCAGAAGATGTCAGGATTAAATGCGTGTCTAAAGCTGTCAAGGTCACAGCTTCCAGGATCTTTCCTGGGTCCAGGGTGGCCTTTGGGGGACATCAACATACCTGGGGCCTGGAGTTCTGAGGTAGACTGGGAACAATGTGGCCATCAAGTTGGGAGTGGAGGAGGGAGCATGATAGGCCAAGTAGCAGAGAGTATCAAGGATCCAGCAAGGGGAGATCCTCTCAAAGCCTGTGCCTTCTATTCCTGCCAGCTCTGTGCTTAGACAGGGCCGGTCAAGGGCAGCTGCAGAGTCACACTGACCAACATTGGTTCTGGGGGGCTGTGCTTTTGAAAGCACCCTCTTTCTTAACTGCACAGCAGAGTTCTACATGGTCTGACAGGAAAACTAGACTCCAGAACCACAGCTCCTATCCCTGCGGACCCTCCCTCCACCAACATACTCACTGCACAGAGTTGTAGCTGGAGAAGGAGATGAGACCCCCAAAGGCCAGTGAGAAGGAGTAGAAGACCTGAGTACCTGCATCCAGCCACGTGTTAGGGTTGCTCAGCTCCGTGATCTGTCATATAGGAACTCAGCTGTTACCACAGAAAGCATCCCCCTCCACTGAGGAAGAAGCTATCTCCTTCCCCAGCAGTGGATGCCATTCTACACAAAGGGGGAAAAGACAAGCCACCCAAGAGTTTCCATCCAGGATGCATATGTTAAAGGCCCACCCATAGGCTAACCCCTTGCCAGGCCTTTCTCAACCAGGACACTGGCCTGTGCATCAGAGTCAGCTGTCACCATATAGAAATGAGCTGGTCTTGAAGCCAAGAGAATCCAGCATAGACTTCTTCCTTGGGATCTGAAGCCCTGGGGTAGTCAGCTGGTAGATGGCAGAGACTCACATTGGGTGTGAAAAGGAAGACAATGCCATTGGTGGCACCCTTCAGAGTCAAGCCACGGATGAGAAAGATGGTCAGCACAACATAGGGCAGCGTGGAGGTGATGTACACAGCCTGTGAGGAACGGGGTGGGGGAGACACAGTATGGATGGGTACAGAGGTAAGACAAGGGCAAAGGGCCAATTCAGGATGCAGCATGCTCTGTTGTGTACTGCACCTTCCCAGTGGTCTCGATGCCACGGATAATGCAAACATATAGCACACTCCAAGCACATGTCAGGCAGAGCAGGATCCACCACTGGATGGAGCCTGAGTCATCGATGGAAGTGGAGATGTTGAGAGTCTCTCGGTACCAGAAATAGTCCACAGAAGAGCTCTTGGCACACTCTTCCACGTAGCCTACAGAATCAGAGCACACATCAAGGTGTGGGTCGAAAGTAGGGACAAGCTAGAAATAAGCCAGGGGAAATGGCAGAAACCTAGCCTCTGTCTGAGGCATTCACAACAGGAATACATTTGTGCACAAGAATATAGCCTCACATATATACATATGTGCTTGTTAATACACCTACACATCTGTATCCATACACCACACACATGTGTATAAACACACTTATTTGTACATAAGTGCTTATCTATGTGAAGTCTGCTAAGAGATACTGTTGGACTCTGACATAGGCCCAGAACCAGCTCCTCCCTGACTCCTGAAGAATAGTGAAGAAACTCACTATTACCCCTGAAGTAGTCTGCACATGGTCTTTGCCATACCCATGATCACTGCAGTCCAACTCCGTGTTATCTTACAACAATAGGTAGTGGTTATCTTACCACCTCTTCCTCAAAGAACCAATTGGAGTTCTCCTACCAGAAGAAATCAAGATTCTGGGGAGGCCTTGTCCTTTGACCAAAATGGGTCCATCTTAATGGGTTCCTAAGAGTTCGTGTGAGACCCTCAGAGCTACCCTGGTAGTCAGGACAGTAGTTACTAAACAGGCTCTCATACTCCTCTGCAGCTATGTATATCTGTGAGCTAAATGTGCCCCATGTGTCATGGGCAAAGACACGTGCCTCTCTGTCTCCACAGGAACGGGGCCTGAGAAGGTATAGGTGACTAAAGACACTTGTGCCAGTGTGGTCTCTTTGTGCAGAAACACGAGAAGCACGGGGAAGGGAACTAGAAAGTCTCCTACCTAAGATCTGTACCCTCTACTCTTGCTAGTGATGCTTGTTGATCTGGAGCCACCTACATACTTCTCATGGCTCATCTACTGACAGTATCAGCCATGTGACCAGTATGACAAAGGAAGTCATCTTGTGTAAGGCTTTCTTCTTGGACTGTGGATTTCTACTTTGTTTTGTTGTGAGAGGGTTTGATATTGAAGCCCATACTAGCCTGGAACACACAGTGTAGACCATGCTGGCCTCAGTCTGTAGCAATCCTTTTGCCTCTGCCTTCTAAATATTGAGGTAATAGGTATACTTCTCCTCCTCTCCCCTCTCCCCCCTTCCCTCTCTCCTCTCCCCTCTCCCCCCTTCCCTCTCCCCTCTCCCCCTCTCTCTCCCCTCTCCCCTCTCCCCTCTCCCCTCTCCTCTCTCCTCTCTCTTTCTGTGTATGCATGTGCATGTGCATGTATCTGTGTATGTCTATGTATTTGTGTGTACATGGAGTGTGTGCTCATGTGTGTGCAGGTTCAGGTGTGTGAAAGTCTATGTGTGGAAGCCAGAGATCAATTTTGAGTGTTACTCGAGAGCTATCCATCTTATTTTTTGAAACAGGGTTTCTCAGTGGGATCTAGGCTCACTAATTAGACTGGGTTGGATGGCCAGCAAGGCCTTAGAATCCTCCTGTCTCTGTTTTCCCTGCTCACTGGTATTACATGTGACACATGGTTGGTTTGTTATGTGGGCACTGGGGGTTGAACTTAGGTCCTCATGTTTTTATAATAAATACTTTAAACTGACTTTGCTACCACCCTAGCCCATACAATATGAATTTTTAAATGTCATATGCTTTAAGAAATTGCTCTGGTTATTTGCTAACTCTGGTCTTTAAGAATCTAATTCCTAGAAAAATGAGAAGGCAACCAGTTACAAGGTATGACCACCTTATCTAAGAAGTTACCAGCAACCATTTCTCCCCCTCTCCTACAAGCTATATTTTATCAGATGGACAGTGATGGGGGGTGGGGGTGGCGTCTGCATCCCACTGTGTAGGGTCAGTGGCTCACCTGTTTGATTCTGGTTGAGTGGACATTCACTCCATGGCAGAGGTTCCTGAAAGGAGTTGAAGAAATACCACATGACCCAGGCGATGATGGTGTTGTAGTACAGGCCCACCATGAAGGACACGAACATGGAGGCGATGCCTGTGGGGAGGGATGGCACTGTGCAAGGCGTACAGGTATCTCTACCAGGTGAGTGCATGGATACCCATCTATGCTGCCCCACCCCAGGGAGACAGTAGGACACTGGGAGGGGCTTGCTCCCCAATCTGAAGAGCAGATACAGCCCAGACCTAGACGTGGGATATCACTGTATGTTCACCTGATTCTCCCAGAGTGAGCTCAAGTCCCAGCACTCTACACCCTCACCTGCTCTACCTATAGCCCCAAAAGATTTATCCAGGCAAGTGGTCCCAGAGCCCTTGCAAAGAACTTTTTGACAATGTGGGGGGGGGGGGGGGGCCCGGCCCCGGGGAGACCTACTTGGCAAGTCCCAAGCCAAAGACAAGTGGGTAGATTCAGGAAAATCTGTGACGGAGTAGTGAGAGAGGCAAGCAGAGATCTAAGTGGGCCGTGGCTCAGTATCTCGGGAGAACGGGTTGACCTGTAAGGAGTTGCGTGAATGTGCTGTTTTGATTGTGAAACTAAAAACCAAATGTGTGTGAAAAGAAAGCGAAGGAAGGGAAAGTTGAGGTCCAGAGAGTTGGGAGAAGGAGGGGGTAAGGGCAGTGAGGGCTTGAGGTCAGGGAGAGGCCACTGTGTGAGCTTTGGGCTGTCCAGCATTGGGTTTCTGGGATAAACATATCTGAACTCTCTGTCCATGGACCCTGACCTTCTCTTCCCGGGCTGGAGAGCCCACACCACTTTCTTGCATTCTGAGCTCTCAGTGAGCCATGTCCTCTTAGTGAGGCTGGAAGTTGGACCATCTCCAAGCCTGAGTTTGTAAATGAATGACCACACCTAGGGTGGTGGCAGCACTGGGCATCTTTGCTGAGTTTGTAGGAGTGGTCAGAGCAGGCAGCAGGCAGACAGCAGCTCCCCCTTCTGGCCCTGGAGGCTTTTGCTCTAGGAAGGTGGGATCAAGTGCTCTCCCCCAGCATCTAGATCTTCCTTGTGTCCTGGGTTGTGGGGACTCAGGCGACCTCTGCTGGCCTTTCTGTTCCCTGATGACCATGAGCGTGGCCTAGATGCTGTAACCCACACTCCCATGGATTTTAATGAAAGGTTGCAGAGAGCATCTGGAAGAATGTGACCCTGGAACTGATTGGGAAAGCTAAGGAGGAACTAGACAAGCCCTGTAAACCCTAGGCCAGCTGGGAGTGTTAACACACCTATACCCTTCAGAGCAGGGTGGATGGAGCTCCACACACCCACGCTGCCCTTGCGTAGCCTCTGTCCGATGGCAAACTCCAGGTACAACAAGGGGATGCCCTCCAGCACCAGAAGGATGAGAAATGGGATCATGAAGGCCCCTGGATGGGAAGAAGGAAGACATGTCATTACAATCCAGGACACCACCTGGGGATAGGTACTTTAAAACCTTTGTTCTAATGATGCCACCAACAACCCTGTGACACTTGAACAGAGCTGATACGCAGTTGTAAGCCCTGTGAGTGAGATCACAGCAAACTTCACAGCCTGAAAGTATCCCTAGGGTAGACAGTATCCATCATCACATGTAAACACTCCCTGCTGGCTTGAAGAATACTGCCATTAAACAAAGCATGTGACGGTGCCACCATGCTCATCAACAGTAAAGAAACCCAGAGGGGCCTACTGGTTGGCTCCAGGCCTTACACTGACCAGAGCCTTGTGGACAGAAGGACAGAGTCACAACTTCTGAGAATAACTGCACTGAGGACAGTGTGTCACTGCACAGTCAACAGATGATAAATCTGCTGTCAGACAATGAAAGGGACCTCTTTACTAGTGGTTCTGGGGGACTTAGGGAGGAAGCAAGCACCCTTTGGCTTAGAGCAGCTCCATTTGCCGGTATATATTCTTCGCTTCAAACTGTAACAAGTACAATAATGGTCTCAAATAACTGGCCACATTGTCCTCATCTGTGCACCTTTGTATTACAGATCTAACAAACCTTAATAGTAGGAAGTGTGTCTCTCCTGTGATTTAAGAAAGCAATCATTAGCCGGGCAGTGGTGGCACACGCCTTTAATCCCAGCACTTGGGAGGCAGGAGCAGGTGGATTTCTGAGTTCGAGGCCAGCCTGGTCTACAGAGTGAGTACCAGGACAGCCAGGGCTACACAGAGAAACCCTGTCTCGGAAAATCAAAAAAAAAAAGAAAGAAAGAAAGAAAGAAAGAAAGAAAGAAAGAAAGAAAGAAAGAAAGCAATCATTAATGGTGTCCTATATATTAATTATACTTCTATAAGAGCTACATTAATGAAAAAAGTTTAAATAATGCATACTGAATAACAATATTGGAGCTAGAGAGATGGCTCGAAGGATGCTGAGCACTTATGCTCTTACAAATTCCTTCAGTTGAGCCAGGCGATAGTGGCGCACACCTTTAATCCCAACACTTGGGAGGCAGAGACAGGCAGATTTCTGAGTTCGAGGCCAGCCTGGTCTACAGAGTGAGTTCCAGGACAGCCAGGGCTACACAGAGAAATCCTGTCTCGAAAAACCAAAAAAAAAAAAAAAAAAAAAAATTCCTTCAGTTTCTAGCATCTGCATGGTGGTTCACAACCATCTATAACTCCAGGTACAAAATCTAACCTTTTTTTTTTTTTTTTACCTCCATGGGAACTAGGAATGCACATAATACATATACATATTTGAAGGCAAAATACTCATACACATATAGTAACTAAATAAATCTTAAAAAGAAAAAGAGCTGAGCATGATGGCACATGACTTTAATCTTGATAGTAGAATCTCTGTAAGTTCTAGGCTAGCCTGGTCTATATAGCAAGTTCCAGAACAGTCAGGTCTACATTGAGAAACCTACCTCAAACAAAAAGAAAAGAGAGAGCAGTAGGGACTACCACTATCAACAGAGAACCTGTGGAATAGGAGAAAAGATTTGCAAACTACAAATCTGATGAGGTATTAAAATTCTCAGAATATTTAGATGAAAAAACTCAAACAAGATCTAACTTAAAGATGATTACAGACCCCCAAAAGATGTTGACCCGGAGAAGACACACGGAGTCTATTAACACATAAGAAGGTGTTTACATCACTGAGAATGAAGAAAATTCAAGTCTAGATTGTGAGTCACCACCTCATACCATGAGGATAGCTACAAAAGCAGGAAAAAATATTAGGTCAGGAGAGGTAGAGACTAAAATCCTCAATGCTGTTGGTGAAAAAAACAGAGAAGTACAATCACTATGGAAAATAGCAGGGTCATTTGTGGAGTAAGAGTGAATCCAGAACCACCATGCTAGCCAGAAATTCCATTTGTAGGTCCCCAAGAGAATTGAAAGCAGAGCCTCAACAAGGTGTTTGATGCCCAGGTTTAGTAGATGAGTGGACAAACACACCATGGCCTACCCCATACAGTAGGATTTCAACAGAGGGAGGAAAATGGAGGATTTGATTAAGTTAGACAAAAGCCAGTCACCAAAAGTCCAAATGGTCTACTGAGCAGATCCCTGGATACAACATATTCATGGAAACAATAAAATGGAGGCTGCAGGGGCGGGAAGCAATGTGGGGTGGTGATAATGGGGACAGTTTCAATTGGAGAGGATGAGTGTTCCAGGTGTGGACCGTGGTCATGCTGTACAACCTTACAAATGCACTTAAGGCTGTTGAAAAAGGCATTTAAAAATAGCCAAGGGGTACCTTTTACAGTGTATGTTTTCTCACACATGAATCCCTCTCTCTACCTACAGTGGCAATCTTACCCATCTCAATTCCCTCTCCTCTGAGGGGACACTTTAGCTACCACATTTGGTCTCAGATTTTGAGCATTAAAAATTAACCTCTGACATATGCTGCCCTGTGGGCATTCGGAAACAGTTGTAGCCCAGCACTGGGTAGAACTAGACAGAAGATGACCTATCCCAGATGCCTCCGTAACAATGGAAAAACTAAAAGATTAAGTACTTGGGAGCTGTTTTAAAATAAGGATAAACCTGTGCTGCCCTGTGGGAAGTACTGCTTCCATGAAGGCTAGCTTTCGTCCCCACATGTGTCTTCTAAGAAAGCCAGAACTCTTCTGCTGCTGACAGAAAGAGCTGGCGTGAGCTTTGGGGTGATCACAATGCTTAGAATTTCCACGGGTGTTTACTCCCAACAGCATCACATTCTGTCTTTTTAGAAAAACACAGTCATAGAAGTGCAGCTAAGAGCTGCCACTGTTTCTATTGTCTCTGTTGGAGGTCTCAGTGAGGCTCAATAAGGACAAAGCTCAAGCTGAAGTCAAGACCTAAGAACCTAGATCCGAGAGCAGCCTGAAGTTGGAAGTGTACAGGCCAAGTCAAGGCCTTGACTCTCTTCAACATTTAAGAGTCACTGACTCAAGATTCTGTCCTGCAAGGACTCATGGAAGTCCCTTGGGAATGGTCCAGAGCAAAAAGCTGTGATCCCACCATGGTCCCATACATATCATAGTCCTCCGTGACCAGATATCTCTGGCATAGGCCACTACTGGGTCTCTAATAGAGGACCACCAAGACATCCCAACATTCAGGTGAAGATGTAGCTACATTTCTCCAGGACAGGGCACCATCATCCAACCTGACAGAGACAGGGATAGGCACAGAGACAGAAAACCAAGGAGAGAGGCAGAAAGGGGCAGAGGAGGGCAAGTGGGGGAGATAGATGAGAAGGTATAGAAACAAAGGGACTGGGACAGACAGAGGCAAGAGAAGACAGAAAGAAACCAAGGGAAAATGGAGAGAGAGAGAGAGAGAGAGAGAGAGAGAGAGAGAGAGAGAGAGGAGAGAGAGAGAGGGACACGGAGAATCAGAGACACAGATGAAAGACAAGGAGAAACAGAAAGTCAGACAGGAGAAGCAGACACAAGAAGAGACAAAGAAACAGAGGAAACAGAGGAAGGTAGAGAGATGTTCTTGTTTCTCTAGAGGTCCTTGGGTCCCTTGGGCGGACCAAGTAAGTGAACCAAGGATGGTAGGCTAGCACTTGTTTTCCCTGTGCCCCATACAAGGGAGCCAGTCATGTGGGGGTGTGTCAGCTGCTGGCAATCTTGAGGCTCCTGCAGTGGTGCCCATATGGCAAACTTGGTGCGAGACCTGGGCTTCTGTGGGAGCTGACAGAACGCCAGCCCTGGATAGGGGCTTCATCTCTGAGCTGCTGTCCCACCTTTCCACAGGGTGTGGAGGCAGGAGAACAGGGTACAGGTATTGACCATGGAGACACTGGGGCTCCAGGATGGAGTATCAAGGACTAATGTTCAAAGGTTCCCAGAGATAAGGCCTTTCATGCTTCCCGGAGTCCTCAGCATTTGCTGTTTACACAGAGAGAAGCACCAGGGGAGATCGTGGCCCAGTGGGGCTGATGGGAAATGGAGTGTGCAGTTTGAATAAGACCGGTTCTGTCTTTGAATCATGGTTGGGAAAGTAGGAGTAAGGGGAAAGAAGAAGGGAGAGCAACCGAGGAGTCAAGACACAGAAGGCAAGTGCTTCAGGTGGAGAGGGGTCTATCCTATTCTCTCTTTTCAGCAAGGGTAGGTGTTGCACACACTTGCATATCGTTGTACACAAGGTAACCAGGTCTAGACGGGACAGTGGACCCACCATGAGGCTGCATAGAGGATGTATGGGAAACGTTAGGAACTTTCTGTGGGGGCCAACCTGATCCTTGAAGGAAGGCAGTAACTGGCCAGGCAGCCATGGCACACACCTTAACTACAACCACAAACGCTGTTGTGGCTTAGACACAGAGGAAAGGTGGTTCCCAGTGTCCTAAGGCTTGTAGCCAGGGCTAGGACATATATGGACAACCATGTCCAGGGCAGATGCCTACTGTGAGTATATTCCATCCATGCAGGTTCTCGAGTTTCCTGGGTAGATATGGTGACTTCCATGGGTGAGAAAGTAGGATTAGGGGCCAGCTGAAGGTCACTGCTGTTGGAGCCACCCTCAAGATCTCCCATCATGGCCTTTCCATTTCACAGGTGAGAGCACCAGAACCAGGATGACCTAAGAGGCTGGTCCCAGGCTGCTCTGTGTCTACACTACCTTTGAGTACACAGTCCTCCGAAAAAGGGCTCAGAGCAAGCCCATCTCACTCAGGTTCACTGTGGGAGTTGGTGACTGGCTTATATAATTTTTGGTGGATGGTCTGAGCTCCCAAGAGTAAAGCTAGAGGAGAACCAGGGCTGCCTGCTTCTCATGTCTGGTCAGCTTCACTGGTCCATGCTGCACTGGGAGTTTGTATAGCTGACAAACACAGGAGCTATTAGGAGGCAGAATATCTAAGAGTCTTGGAGCCCCAGGGGCACCACCCAGTTCGATTGTCCTTGTCTACCAATACTTGCCATAGTCTCTTGTCCCCCCCCACCAAGAGTCCTCTCAGTCTATTTAAGTTTCCTCTGGAGGCTAGATCAGGGCAGCAGCCTCACCTGCAGGCTTTCTCTGCCACGGTCCAGAGTCTCAGCACAGAACAAATCTACCTTGTAATAGAACTGTTTGTAAGTCATTAAAGCAAGAAGCCAACCATCAGGTCAGGAGAACCATATCTGGGTCCTGCTCTCCTGACTTCACCTGACCCAAACACAAACTTCCCTTCCTCCTGGGTGATTGTCTGGCTTGTGTGTGTGTGTGTGTGTGTGTGTGTGTGTGTGTGTGTGTGTAGAGAGGTGTCAACACAGGCCAGAGTGACCCAAAGATACATGGCTCCTTCAAGAGGTGTTCTCTTCACTTTACCTAGGATGTCCCTCTAAAACCTAAGCCCAGGCCCTCTCAGAAAGTCAAGGCTCAGAACAGTGTGTCCAAGGGACCAAGGCTATGGCCAGAACCTTCACTGCTCTCTCCCTCTGTCTTCCCAGAGCTGGCACAGAAGTCCACAGACCACTACACCACACACCTACAGGGACGGTGCCACACCCCACAGTCCCCAGTGCATTGTTGGCTCAGAGTGGCTCATTGTGGGCCCAGCACCCCGGGTGCAGCAGTGATCTCAGGTGCTGGGAATTTCCATCAGATTCCCACAGAAGACTGAACTGTAGACACAGTTCTTTTGTGGAAATCCTGAGCAGTTGCTTGTGGGACAGGCTCAGGCTCAGCCCTTCTCTCCCAGGCATAGGAGTAATCTGACATATCTGTACTGTGCCTCTTACCCTTCATCGATTTGACACCTCCACATCCCTACAGTGATCCTCCTCAGGAGGGTAGTACAGGAGAACCTAAGGCTGCCCTGCATGTGTGGAAGTGGGAAGCCCAGAGTCTGTTTGCTGTGGGAGTGCCTACATCCAAAAGTGGTCCTCAGAGAGTAGAAGGGATCCAAGAACGGGAGGTTGGAAAGCCTTAGGCCAGTTCTGTTGAAATCACCTGGGATCTAGGTGATGTCACTTGGGCAGCAATGCCTGAGACTGTCCGTTCTCTCACTTGCTGTAGAGCCTGGTCTGAGTGAAACGTGCTGGCAGCGTCATAAACAGCCAACCTACACATCTAAACAGCAACACAGTGGCCATTTCAGCTTAGCTGTGACAACTTCTCATCACAATGCCAGTGTGACTGCACAAACTGGAAGTAAAGGAAGCTCTTGACTCAGAGAATCCTGATTAAGAGGAGAATGTCTGGAACCCATACAACCGCACCTGTGTCACACCTTGGGCCCAGCAGAGCCAGTTTCTACAGCAGCCAGGCCTGCCCAGACCTCCACTGACAGCATCACATTAAGAAGGCAGAGTCTGGGCTCAAGGTGAGGAGGCAAAGGCAGAAGAAACACACACACAGGTCCAAGGCTGTTTGTGATGGTGTTTGCAAGTATGTGTGAGTGTTGTGTGAATGTGCACGTACATGCATGAGGGCTTGTGTGCATTTCCTGATACAGAAGCTCTTGTGGGGATAATAGAAAGCTGAAGTACCAACTAGAAGAAGTTGTCTCTGTAGTATAGGAGCCTGTGGGGCAGCTATGTCTGTGACCTCTGTGCCCCAGCTGTGTCCTCCTGAGCCACCTGGATGTGTGCTGTGGAACACCTTTAGTGGGACAAGGGTCAGAGCCTGGGGCTCTCTGTAGAGGGGGTGCAGCTGGGGAGACACGGGGCCTCACTAAGAAAGCCAAGGCTCTCTTAAAGGCTGCCACACAAGCTGAGGCTTGTGAGTCACTGAGTGCAGCAGCTCCTCTCTGTATGTGCTGGTCCAGGGCCAGATAGGAGTCCAACAAGACAGGTTCCGTCTGTGCTCTGTCCTCTGAGGATCACCTTTGAGAACCCAACTTCCCTTCTTCCAACAGGATCATGCAGTACCCACCTTCAAAGTGGGTCCAGGTGGGTGTTCTACTTTCAGGGAGGGACATCAGGAAACTACCTGTATCATCTTCATCTCCAGGGGGAGGTTTTTCTGCAGCCCCACATAAACCACCTCATTCACGTGGGCAAGAGTAGATAGAGCATATCTCTTTCACCAACAAATTGAGACTATTACCCTGCCTCTTCCTTCCCCATCTGTGACCCTCTTTGATGCTGAATCCTGAGGAATGTCCATCCCATGTTCTTGACCCATATTGTTTACTCCTGGGTTCCTGCTTTGGCTTCCACCCATGCCTCACCCACCGACCAGGGTCCCAGGTCCTACCTCCTCCATGGCTCTGGCATAGGAAGGGGAAGCGCCACACGTTGCCCAGTCCCACACAAAAGCCCACACAGGTGAGCATGTACTGAGCCTTGTTGTCCCATTTGGGCCTGGAGCTGGCCTCTTCCTTTTCAATGACCTCTAATTCATCCAGAGATGGAATCCTGTCTTCTAGGCCAGGGTTGGGCAGCACAAGCCTCACCATGGTGGTCGCTGGGCTGGGCTGGGCTGGGCCTGGCACACTCAGGCAGTTCGGCAGCCAAAGGGCAAGTGGTGGTGTCCAGGAGCTCCGGCTCTTTATAGAGAACCTTTGGCACCTCACCCCAAGCACCTGGGCCGAAAGGAGGCGTCAGCAGATCCTCGGGGCGCGTCCTGCAGCACTGTTAATGCCTTATCTGCAGAGGCACCCAGCCTAACCAGCTAAGCCACCCCCTCCATTCACTGACAGGAGGTCCTGCTGCAGGCTTGGACACACTTCCCCCTGTACAAACCCAGACATAGGCCAGGGTTGGGTGTGGAGGGGGACAGTGTCAGACCACTCCCCAGGAAAGAGGGAGGTACCTCTAGCAAATAGATCAGAATAGATGGTGTCTGTTGGTGTCCTGTCCAGACCAGCAGGATACTGCTTCTCCTCAGACTGTTGGAGCTCCCAGAAATCTGTCTCACCTGTAGGAAACTGAGCAGGGGGTCGCCCACCCCAGAATTACTCCTGAAAGTAGCTGAAGCCCCGTTCCCTAATTGATGCTCACACAAAGTGCCACAGTATGGCTTGGGATCCTCCCAGCACAGCTCTGTGCTCTAAGCATCCCTCGGAGGACCTTTGGCTATCCCCAGCATCTAGCACCCACAGTATTTGTTCTTTCAGGGCGCACTTAAGGGATGAGGAGACTGCTTGTGTCGATGTCAGTCAGCTACGATGATGAAGTCCTACCACTGGCAGAGTGACCAGATGGGAGATACAGAGAAGCCAGCATGACATCAGGGATGGCCACTGGTTGCCAGGAAAGGCTGAGGGTAAAGGGCCTAACTTGCCCTTTGAAGCTAGACGGCCAAGAAAAGGCTCCCAGGGGTTATGTCTAAACTAAGACCAGAAACAGAGATAGTGTTCACTTCATGTAAACATTGCAGGGTAGGACTTAGGTGGGGCATGCCCTCTGTTCTGAGCACTTCCCCGCTGCCTCTCCTGCCTACCCAATGACTCCCCACCCCTGGGAACTATCCTGAGCATCCTGAGGGCAAAGGATATTACCCTATGCCCCTTCTCAAATTCCCCTCCCACCTGCTTTGGTCCAGCCTCAAGGGTCAGCTCTCCAGGGGGGCCCTTCCTGAACTCTCCTGACCCAGCCTCCCCACATCATGTCCTTGGCACATGTGACCTTCCTAGAATTCACAGGACTTTTAGTGTTCTGTTGTCTTTTTCCCTTTCCTTCTCATTGTCCTCTCTCTCTCTCTCTCTTTTTAAATGATGATAGGTTTTTAAAGTCTGTCTCTGCTTATTTATTTAATCGGTGATCAAAACACCACTATATGACAACATCCCAAAGCCCAGCTTCGTCCGTTTCCCTACATTAGTTCCTCCTGATATCCCTGAATAGCAGAGATGAAAGGGGGAGCATCACTCAGGGTAGAGCAAGTGCAGGGAGCTGACTTTTGACCAAACGCACTGGGAAACTAATAGGGTGGAGGCCAAAGGTGAGACGAAGTTTACATTCGAAATATCCTGCCTACAGAATGTGAAGGAGAAGGTGAAGAAAGACCCAGAAAGACGGAGACAGAGAGGAGGAGACACAAAGCTAGAGACAGGGAAAGATTCAGAGAGATAGAGAGATAGAGCTATGAAGGAAGAGACAGAAAGACACAGAGAGATGAGAGAGAGAGAGAGAGAGCAGAGATCAATACAGAGATCTGCCCCCAAAAAAGACCCACAGAGACAGAGATAGATAGAGACAGAAACCTAGAGAGATACACAAAGAAATAGATAAAGGCACCAGACACAGCAATGCAGAGACAGAGAGAAGCTTAAACACAGGCAGAGAAAAACAGAGACAAAAATAGAGGTAGAGATAGACAGAGATAGAAAAAGAGATATAAATAAAGACAAAGACTGAGATACAGAGAGACAGGCAGAGACATAGAGACATAAGGAGACAGAGATTTAAAAAATAGCAATACGGAGACAGAGAGGAAGAAACCAGGCCAGGCGGCAGGACCTAGGAACAGGGAAGGGAGGACAGTGTGGGCAGGGAAGGAGATTTAGCCTGGCCCAAAAGACCAGCAAGGAGGCTAAAGTGAGGGCCCAGACCTGTTCTAGAGACACTGTGAGGCCTATGGTGATGGTAGGCAAGATTCTTATCTATGCAAGCCTCTCTAAGAAGACCACACTTTTTCCTCCCCTCAAATCCTCTAGACCCTTGCACAAAAGAAATGAGATAGAGAAGCTGGGTTAAGGACCCATGTCACCTAGGCAACAGCCTACACAATCAGTGCAGAGACCTTACATCCTGTGAGTGAATTGTACACAAGCTGTCTAATGTCAGTAATTTCCTGAGAAAATGGCGGAAATGACTCTCACTGCAAGGCTGGTGCCCAGGTTGAGTGGACGGGTGGGGCTGAGATTCAGGACTGGGGTCCAGATGGGGATTTTACTATGAGCCCTGTGGGGTCCTATTGTTACCACCTATGTTTTCTGCATGTGCCTTATTCACTGAAGGTGTGATGTCAGGTGTCTCTCCTGCCTCAGAACCTGAGTGGGCAGATGAGGGCAAGGGTAGCTCTCTGGGATCAGGGCCAATTCTTTTTCCATCTGTGGATCTTGCCTCATGGCTGGGCATGGAGTGAGGTTCAGGTAAATGCCGACCTCTGTGATGCCACCATTCAGGGTCTCATGGTAACCTGCTTTTTTTGCATGGACAGAAAAGGCCTTCCATGACCTCAGCTCCTCAGTTGTAGAGCAACCCAGAACAACATTTGCATGCCCAGATATTGTTACAAGATCTTGCTTCCTCCTCAGAATGCTCCAGTGTCACTATAGGCAGAGACCGCCAGCCTCCAGAGGGTTAACAGAGTGCTACCTGCCTGGCTCTTAGTCAGCTCTCTAGCCTGTTCTCAGTCCTCACCCCATTTGAAGCCCCATCTAAGTCTCTCTTTTTGCACAATGCTATTTCCTCCCTAGGCTATATAGCTTACAAGTTCTAGGCAAATTGCAGAGTCTTGGGTTGGTGCCTAAGACTGGCAAAACCAGGAGATCTGTGGGTCTCTTTTCAGTAGAAGAATTCATGTGGCCAGAGAACCATATATCCATCCCCAGATAATCTATCCAGGTTTTAACCTCTCCTTTCAGCACATACACAGAAGCAACTCAGTAGGACCTCAGGAGACTGGCCACACAGGGACTTCCTGACAGGCAAGTTCCCCTTCAGAATCTAGGACAGTTCAGGACAGCAAGTGAGAGGGTGGAGTGGCTTGTGAGCCTTTTGCTTTTTACTAAAACAGCATGTGAAAATAATAATAAAAAGATTAAAACTTGCAGGAAATATTGTTGACCCAGTCCTCAAATCTCAATGGTCAGAAAAGGCACCTGAGCTGAGGAGGGGATCAGAACAAACAGGGCAGGGTCCTGCAGAATGGACTCCACACACTGATGGGTCTGTCTCCACACACAGCCTGCCCCACTGGTGACTCTATGCCAGCACCTGGGAGCAGATGACTACCCCATTTTCTCAGGAACACTTTTTACTATAAACACAATGCCTACTATATTGAGAAGACAGGTGTTTCCAGTTCCATGCTGGAGAAGACACGATGATTCTTCTTCGCCCCTTAGTCCACAGCTGAATGTGCAGAACACTTTATCCCTCCATCTGTCCATCCCTCCATCCGTCCTTGCTTCCCTCCTAAGCCCCAATAGTCATACCTGGTTTTAACTTAACATTGTAGCTTGATAATTTTCCTTTCATTAGTTTTTCAAACAGTTTAATTGACTTTAAATTCTTGGATAGTTTTAAATTTGAACTTTTACTTAGTTTTTCTTCCACATATCATGTCTGAGTTTTGACACAGAGAGTTCTTAGCGTACTGGGTACCCATAATTCTTTACCAAAACTTCCCGAGTGCCGTTCATCTGACTTCAGCCTCCTCCCTGTGGTGCTGTGTTGTGTGTCCAGAGCATTTCCCACAGGACACATGCTGCATCTTGGTCCTTGGGGTAGCAGTATTGAAAGTGATGGGATTGAGGCTTGGGGAGGTCTTAGGTCATTGGGTATGTGACCTCAAAGGGGAAAAGTGGAAGCCTGGTCCCTTTTCTTTTCTTTTTTTCTTTTCTTTTCTTTTTTTTTTTAAAGACTCATTTATTTATTTTATGTATTCACCATTGCTCTCTTCAGACACACCAGAAGAGGGCATCAGAGCCCACTAAAGATGGTTGTGAGCCACCATGTGGTTGCTGGGACTTGAACTCAGGACCTCTAGAAGAGCAGTCAGTGCTCTTAACCGCTGAGCCATCTCTCCAGCCCTCTTTTCTTTTCTTTTCTTTTCTTTTCATTCTTGGCCATGATGTAGGGAGTTTTGCTCTACTATATGAGACTGTCATGATATGCTGCCTTGGCTCAAAGCAACATGGACTAAAGCCTCCACAATTATGAGGCTAAGCAAGGCTTCCCTCCTTGTAAGTGGATCATCTGAGGTGTTTGTTACAGCGACAGAAAGCTGGTTGGCTCAAACATATTTTTTTTCAAGTGGATGACTGCTGGGAGCTGACTCCGAGCAGAAAGCGGCTATCATCTTTGCAGCCATCTCGAGCCATCTCTGACATGAGACTTGTTTTCATCAGCCTACAACAGCTGAGTACACTCTGATAAATATTTTGCTTTTCTTACATATCTTGTTTTGTTGTTTAATGGCCCCAGCTGCAAGGTGCATGTAATAAAGTGTCTTCAGCTGCATTCCCCTGCTTATGCTTATATATACCCAGGATTTCCTTTCAATAAAGAAGAGACTAGACCAGGCTCTGTCTTGTATCTATCTTTTGCGTCTCTCGCCCCTCCATCCCCACTCTCTCTCTTGCTAGACCCTGACCCACAGATTGGAGCAGCAGTTTGGGCAGTTACAAAGTGGCCCCTGAACGTGGGGCAGAACAGGTGGTTATAGATGACGCTTTGTGGTGTTGATAGATTCATGTAACTACCACTCAGGTCAAGACTCAGAACATTCCATAATTCCAAAGCTCCTGCTCTCTCCCAGGCATTTGGCCCCTCCTCCTGAGACTGTTTTTTAGGCTCTTGGCCATCTTGAAGGCTCCATGCAGTCTGTGCTTTCAACTCTTAGCACTCTATCAAAAACTTCTGTCAAAACATATCTAA